AACTGGACTGTCAATTTGATTGGCTAAAGTCACACCCAGGGATTAGTAAAGCACACATCATTCTGGGTGTGTCTGGGTAGGTCATGGAAACTTGACCTTGGGGTTTGTATCTGGCATCAGATATAAACTTGGGGTTTCTCTTTGGCATCAGTCTCCTGACCTGCTTTCCACCCACCATAAACTAAACAGATTTGCTCAGCCATGATGCTTCAGCGTTGGATTCTTCTGAAACTGAATCAAATGAAACCTCTCCTCTTTGAATTTGTGAGTACTGGGTAATTTGTTCCAGCAATGGAAAAGTTGACCAATACAACAACTGATCCTGTTTTCAGTTTTGGCAGGATGAGGACATCATATAAGGCATAACTGGTAGTTTTCCTTAGGTTTTCACTGTCACCTCACCATGGACGGCTGTAGGCACATCACAGATGCTTAATTATATAAAATGGAGTTAAAGGCCACAGAGATCGGAAACAGCAATTATAATTAAGTAGTTATTAACTGTGTTAATAGTTAAAACTGTTTTAAGAGTTGGCACATTTTACGTTGAGAATTTCCCATCAGGATCGGATTACTGATTTATATGACCTGGTAATCGTATCATAAGTCACTGGTAGTACAAGAAAATCTGGGAGAAATCTGCTACTTTTCTGTGCTAGGTAGGAAGAATAACTGAAATATCTCTTGTTTTCCTCAGTTCCTGTGCCATGAAAATTGTCTCTGTGTCTGCTTAAAATCTTGCTCATTATTGTTGAAATACCTTGTGTGAGGAATATATTTTTGGAATAGTTTGTGAACTATTCCTAAGCAGGGTGCTGAGAAAGGATTTTAAGTGGTGCTACGAAAATTTATACGAGACCATCAATTCATTAAACACTGCTGCAAATTGACAGGAATCACAGCCTTCCTTTTTCCATTCCTCTCAGGGTGGTAAATCTACTAGTATCATTTAAGAGTCTAGTTGTTTCATATGTGAGAAGGCTTTCCTCACCACAGAAACATGCTGAAGACTATATTTTCTAATTCAAGTACTGGGATAAATGGCCTGAAAATGGGCAACATAAAATCGTTGTCCTAAGAAATGTGAGGAGCATAGTTTCTTTGCTTAATATAAGTCACTTTTCTTCTTTCTTCAGCGTATGTAGAGGACGGGAGGAAGGAGGAACTCTAAGCAAAGGGGCTACAGTGTATGGGGTGATCTTTAAAAGCAAGCGGCAAAAAGAATAACCTCTGTCCTAAATATTGAATAAACTTTCAGAAAGCAGGACACAAGACTGTACAACATTAGGATGAAAAGAGTTTTGAAAATGTTTATAATGAGAAAGATGTCAATGATTATTTATATAGACTCAAGATTAATGTTTATCAGTGTTTACTTTTAATGAAGTTATTTTCATAATTAAATAAAAAACTGAAAAGAAAGTTATGTGGGGGCAGGTCTTGCTCTAATCCTACATGAACATACAAATGTTCATTGTTCGGCCAGGAATGGTTGTCAGGAGATCGAGGCACCATGGATGCAAACACAAGGCATAATGAAATGGGAACCTCTTTTAAAAAGGTTCAACAGGTAACTGTGAAGCTGCATAGTGACACTGTCTGAATCTCCATCAACCACAAATCGAGGCTTTCACAAACGCTTATGTTTGGCTTAACACCTATGTGTATACCGAGGCTATTTGAAAGATGTCATCTGATCTTCTCTCTTTAAGAGAAGAGATTTATTTAAACTCAAATATCTTTAAAAGCACTCGAGTAATAAAACCAGGACAAATGGGATGAGGGATGAGCGGGGCAAAGGGTAGCGCACATTATGAGTCTGGAGAAACTTCTATCACTGGGCTCCAACCTGCCAAATCTTGCAGCAACGCCAATGGTGTAGTTACAATCAGATCTTTTAGTGTTTTTAGGAGCAGGATGCTGATACTTTTATATAAAACTTCCAAATTTTAAATGAGAGAAATTTTTTTTTTAAAATGAAATACTATAAAGGAAAGAAAATGTGTCTGTGAGTTAAAAATGGTCTGCAGGCTCCTAGCATAGAAACTCTGTTCTAAGGGAACTTTCTACTGTTTCAGTTGGTACAATTAACAGTAGTCTAAGAGTTGGTTAAAAGACTCAAGCTTTACTAGACTGCAGGGGGCCATGCTTTTGTGTACCTAGATGAAACTACTCCTCAAGATTGAGCTTTGTACTGGGAAATCATAAATATTTCTAGTTCACTGACATCTTTCCACTTAATTTTGGACTTAATGGTTGTACACAGGCAGAGAATTATGCATGTATTTCTTCACAAGTATTTCTTGGTTTGATTCCAACGTGTCAGTTTTCTGCCCTTGCTCTTATCAGAAGAAGATAGAGGCAAATCTTTTATTTATGGCAGAGAAAAGAGCCACACAGGGACTCCAGATCAGCAATGATAGCGATGCTGTCCTTAAGCAAATTACTTGTTATAATCTGTTCATGCTAGTCAGAGGCTCTTCATCTCTGTACTATTCATCCTTGGCAAAATACCTAGGGTGTCAAAGATTCTCAGAAAATATTTATGCACTGAAATGAGCTGAACCCCGTGACAAAACTCAATGTGGTTCTCAAAGCCTCTTGGCATACGGTTTCATTTGCATCATTAGTTCACGCCCCAAGAGCCGAGATGTCGACTAAACTGCTCTTTTCCCAGAGTTCCTGATAAATATTGAAACACCTTTTTTTCCCAGTTCCTATGAAATTTACTTGATTGTCAAAAATCTAATTTAAATCTTTCTTTCTTTGGAATCTCATTTCATTATAACAAATTTTGTTGTGTATCCAACAAATCACAAACTACTAGTCATGCTTGTAAGAAATGTCAAGACAATCACTTCTACAGCTAATTTTTAAAACATTAACCCTCACAAAACACTGCCTGTGTCTATCAGCTTGTAAGGGCACTGTGCTTTGCCACATTATGCTTAAGGTGGCATATACAAAGGGTCATAAACTCAAAGGCCAGTAGAAGCCCGGGCCAGACGGTAATAGCATGAGTACTCAATGTAAGAAAACAAGGATTTGCCTGAATACAGTGCAGGAGAGTTCAGTGCTCCTGCTCTTCACCTCATGAGACAACACAGAGCCAGAGTTGTTAGATTTCTTTCCCCTCCTTTTTTGGAAGCCAAACAAAATAAGCCTGTGGGCTGCCAGTTTTGACCTTGTATACAGCACTCTATTTTCCTAGAGTTTAATGAATATTTTCCAAATAAAACAACAGGAAAAATATTGGAAGTCACCAGACATACAAACACGTCACATCAGGTGAGTATTTTGTGGTACCTAGCCAAACCCTATACTCTAAAACACTATCTCGAGGACAGCAACATCTTCTCCCAGGAAAAGATTCATTTGTGAGGCTTTATTAGAAATCATCACATCAGTTTTTATACTGGCTTATTCCTCTAGTAAGAATGGAAGCTGCACTGGGTTATGATCAAATGATAACGGCCTAAAAACACATCACTCTAAAAACATCCAAGTAAAATTAAAATGGAATAGAACACTAAAATGATTTTGGTAAATTACTTTGTCAGTATGAGTTTGTGCTTTGATTTTTGTTCCACATTTCTTCATTTCAGACATCGCCTGTCTCTAGAAATACCTTATCTCAAGATAAGGAATTGTCAGTCACAGGACTGTATATGAATGGTGCAACATCTAGGCTGGAAAATTAGGGATCCCATTTCCTGGATGTAATGGTTGGTCTAGAACTATGCAAGAGTGAAGTCCAGCCTGTGAGGAACTGATCTTACTTCAGAGGTAAGGACGCTGAGATGAGTTGAGATGGCAAGTTAAAGGGACCATGTAGGCATGAATGTATGCCTAAAAACCTGCCAACAGGCGTAAAGAAATCACTTCAAAGAGATGAGACAAAGGAGGAAGGGAAGACGGGGATGCTCCCGATAACATCACCTACCACAAACTCAGTGATGTCTGATGCTACTCCAAATACTGACCACTAAGTTAACTTTCTTTCCTCCTCCCTCTCTTTTCCTTCTTCCTCTTCCTCCCTCCCTCTCTACCTTCTTTCTTTCCTTTTTTCTTTCTTGTACCAGGAACCAAACTCAGGGCCTCACACTTGTCAGGCAGGCACTGTGCTTCTGAGCTACATTTTCTGCCCTCATTTATTTATTTTTCAGACAGAGTTTCACTATGTAGTTCGCGCTGGTCTTGAACTCACTATGTATCCCAAACTGGCTTCAAACACGTGGGAATCTTCCTTCCTCAGCCTGCCAATGCTGGGATTACAGGCTTGTGCCACCACGCCTGACACAATAAATTTAAGTTTGATTGGTTCTTATAAATTATAGCTGAAAGCCTTGATGAATACATGACACATTGTGGTTTACATTTTTGTTTTAGGAGAATGTGGATCCAATTAAGCTAATTTCAGAAAAAGGCATCTGAATTGTAAAATTACTTCCTGGCTCAATGTATATTTATAATTCACAATTCATATTCTATTTTTTAAATATGAGTGTCAGCAAATTAATATTTTTCTATTCTCAGCCAAGGACTATTTCAAAATATGCTTTCTGAATTTTATGAGTAATGCCATGTTTAGTACCAAAAATTTAGAGAATATACAAAAGCACAAAGAGTGAAAACCTAAAACAAATATTAATTTCAAAAGTTAGGGCTAGATTACATTATTATCCAGCAGGGGCATTCTATACACCACTGTACATTTTTTGATGCATTTGTTGAATTAAATAATACATTAACTATTTTTAGTATGAAATACAAATTAAGAAAGTAATTATATTGTAAAGCTCTCTTAAAGCATTACTTGCTAGATGAATACAGAATCTTTGCATTTATCTCCTACAAAGAGTACAGTGGAGGAACCCTGATAGCTGAAAGCGGATTATGGGGGTGACTGCATTTGGAATAGTAAGATGTTCAGGGTGTGTGAGAATGTCTTCCAGTTTATATCACAATTCAGTCACTGGTGGTGCAGAAAGCATGCTCACCTCCTCGTTCTCGATTTTGAGCGTGGCCAGTCGGGACTGTAGCTGTTGGTACCTGAGCATAAGCTCTGCCTGGACTGGCTGCTGGGCGCTGACCTGACACACCTGTTGGAGAATCAGAACAAACTGCAGTTACAATAGGGCGGAACCAGCCAGCCTCTGAGCCACACGTTCTCCTCTATTCATGCTGCCTGAGTCACGGTGGTCCTGAGATTCCCATACATCTTTCCTCCTAGCAGCCACCTCTGAACTTCAGTTTCCAATGGAGATGTGGACTTAAGTGGCAAGCACAGAATGCAGTTGCTTGGCCTGCCTACTGGAGGACTGAAGCTTCAGGAAGCATTGTTAGGATAACATGCAGCTCCTGAGATACAGCGGTAATGCTGGTCTCCCGGGTGACATCTTAATGGCCTTTGGGCAGAGGGCGGAGTGCTAAGGATGGTCCAAGAGGACTATAGAGGTGGCAGGAGAAAGGCAGCAGGGCTTGCTGGTTAGGGTGTGGGCTTTAGAGTCAGCCAACTGTGGCTGAATTCCAGCTCTGCCACTTACTAGCCAGGTGACTATGATTAGCCATAAAATCTCAGTTTTCTCATTTGTAAAATGGGGGTAAGATTTTCCTATAGTATAAGGTTGTTGTGAGGATGACATGAAAATATATATCTCTGAGCATATCTGGCACACTGTAGAAACTCAGAAAATGTGAATGACTACTTTCAGCAATTTTCAACCACGGTGTTACTAGCCAGTATCAGCCAGATTGTATGATTCACCATCAATTTAAAGAGGAACGTATACCAGCTCCCCATGAGGATGTGATCATTTATGTACTATAAATATGTACTAATAAAAAAACCCCAAAGAACAATAATGGGGCAATTGAAATTAGGCTTTGATAGAAGATATTTTGGTCATGATTTCACCTAGGGATAAGATTAAACCATTTTCCAAATTGTACCAGAAACAATTTTTTTTCTCATTTTCCTTGACATAGAAATGATCGTGGCTCTCATTAGTGCAGTTCCAAAGCATCACAGAGATTACCATTTTCTGGCAAAATTGGTCATAAGAATAACGGATATGCTTCATTAAAATAATTAACAATAAGATGATAATATAAGTGATAACTACTAAAATGCAATTAAAGTCACTGACTGTGGTATTTTATCATTCAGAGTTTAACACATCCACATGGAAAAATTAAAGCAGCTACCATTTGATTTTGGAGGGCTAATACTCGGTGAAATAAGCTATTCATTTTGTTTGTTGAAATTTTCGCTTCATTGACATAAACACTGTAGATTGCTTCTCCTCTGTCTGAAGAGCTTGGGGCCAGAAATATCTAAGTATTGAAGTCCTTTGGATTTGGAAATATTTAGATAGTCTTTATCAATTAAGTGTCACTGCTCTGAAAATCCTGAATACAAAATGCAAACTTTTCAGATTTTGGAGCATTTCAGATTTTTGCGCTCAGGACATGTGATCTGTACTTATTATTTCTAGTAAAGTAATTTATCAAACAAAAATGAATAGAATTAGAGCTAACACACATATCTTACATGTCTTAATATTTTGTGTTTCAGAAAAATACAGTACTAGTCTTTCATGAATATTATAATTTTATCTACTTTTAATAATAGACTATCATCCCAATAAGCTAAAACTAAGCTTTTTAAAAAAAATTAGAATAAAATGTAGAAATATTACAGTTTCAAAAAAGAACAGTAAGAAATGACTAGTCAAAAAAACAGTAAAAAATCACTAGTTGATAAATTACATATTGTTATCTTAGAAGTAATTATTCAAGTTATAAAATTAAAGCCTAAAAAATGGACAATCAATGACAGTACAATCTATTCTGTTTGATGAACTAACAAAAACTTAGCTTTTTTTGGTAGAACTTTTAATTTACATAGCTGGGACATCAAGTGCTATATAATTGCTCCATTATTTGGTTTTTCTTGTTTTCCCCTGCCTATAGACAACAGTATAAACAAGTATAATTTATAATTATCTCAAATGTTATTTGTTTTTATGAAATAGGATAGATAGCTAAATTAATATAAAGACTATAAGACACCATATATAATTTCTGATGTTCATTTGGTCACTTTGGAACCAACTTGAGTCTTAAAATATATTTTGCCCCCCCCCCCAATTTTCTTGTCATTTACAATACTTTTCAGTATAGAGATCTTCAAGTAAGGGTTATAAGGAGTCTTCAGAAAGGTTTTATTGGGTAATCAAAATGTATTTTTATTCAAATTTGAATGCTTTGAGGGAGATCTTGCCAATTATACTGGAATGGCTCAACCAAATTAACACCTTTCTCTGTTTGCCATTTAAGTATGTTTGATCTTTATTCTAAAAGGTGGAAGTGGCTGATTTTAGCATAGTATTATACTGAGATCTGGTACAAGGGCAGAAGAGAGAAAACAACTTGGAATTCTTACAACTGTTGAGTTATAACCAGTGAGGAGAAATATAAATGAAGAGACCATTAATTTAAAAATCATCAGTTTCTGACCTCATCACCCATGTGAGACTGAAACTCAAATTTCATTGGTGGACAGAATGCAGCAGGGTACATCTCCATGAATCTCTGCTTGTCACTCCTTGGTTCTAAATTGTCAACTGCATTTTCAATAATGTCCAAGCCTTCATGTCTAGAGGTTTCGAGGTTATACTCCGCAGAGAGATACGTTCTTAGGGCTCTGTTCAGGCTTGCATGGTAGCCAAGATCACAGCACTTAAAAAACAGAAGAGCACAACATAAAAATTAGCTGAAAACTGATCAAAGACCTTAATGTGAGTCCTATAAAACTCTTAGAAGAAAACAGATAAACCTTACGATACCAGATTAGACACTGACTGACTCCTTGGATGTGACATCAAAAGTACAGGCAACCAAAGTGTGAAAAAAATCCAAATAAATTTGATTTAATCAAAATTGTTAGCTTTTGTGTTTTAAAAGACACTATGAAGGAGTTGAAGACAACCCACAGAATGAGAAACTCTTTCCAAATCATGCATCTGATAAAGAACTTGTATTTGGAGCATATGAAGAACTCTTATTAAGTCAACAATTCAATGACATATGGCCCGATTAAAAAGGGGGCAATGGCTCTAAATAGACATTTATCCAAAGAAGAAGATAGAAATCAATAGTAAGCACATGAAAAGATGCTCAGCATTAGTAGTCATCGGGGAAAAGCAAATCAAATTCATGATTAGATACCACTTCACACTCGTTAGGAAGGTTACAGGAAAAAATACAGTAATAAATGTTGCAGAGAATATGGAGAAACTAGAGCCCTCATATACTGCTGATGGGTGGGGGTGTAAAATGGTTACAATCTCTTTGGAAAAGCCTGGTAGTGCCCCCCAAAGTTAAACATACTGTTACCATATGACTCAGGAAACCCACTTGTAGGTAAACACCCAAGAGAATTAAAAATGTTTCCTATTCAAGAATTTGTATATGAAAGTTTATAGCAGATTCATTCATAACAGTTCAAAAAGTAAAATGATCTAAATGCCTACCAGCAAATGAACAGGTAAATAAAAATGTGGTATAAACATGCAATAGAATATTATTTAGTCACAAAAGGTACTTTGAAATTTTTATGCTGTGTAAAAGAAGCCCATTATAAATGATCATATATTATATGAGTTCATTTATATGAAATGCACAGAACAGGCAACTTTACAACAATAAAGAATAAGTTAGTGCTTGCCTAGGGCTGCGAGGGAATGGAAGAATGCGGAGGGGGATATATGTAAGATTTCTTTTGGGGGTAATGAAAATCTTCTCAAATTGATAATAGTGATGATGCACGACTCTGTGGCTATACCAAATGCTAACTATAGCTTTTAAATTTTTTATTTTATTTTATTTTATTTGAACCAGGGATCAAACTCATGACCTTGTACTTGTCAGGCAGGTGCTTATGCTACTGAGCTAAGTCCCCAGCCCAAACTATAAACTTTTAATGAACTGTATGGTATATGGACTATAGCAGAAAAAAGCTGTTAAAAATTTAAAAAGCAAAGCAAATACTCACAAATAGCATTCAAGTCACATTGATGCAATAATGTAATTATCACAATAATTCATATCCTAGGTTGCAAATATACAACTGAAATCTTTTGGGTTTGTGTATTTTATTGAAGACTCAAGAATAATCTGTACTCTCTCAAAAGCAGAACAGGTTTGAATCTGTCAAAACGGTCCTGCAATGCTTTCCCTCTGGTCCCCAGAATAAAATTCCTAAATAAGAAATAATTACTAAAGTCCTTTTGTTGTAACTGCATTGTGTTTAGCACTCCATGAAATAAAATAGCTTTGAGATTTCTTGAGTCTCCATTGATTTTATTTGTATGTATATTATTTTCATGTTGCATTTTAAGCAAATATGATTTAAAAGCAGTACATAGCTTTGGAAATTAGTTATAAATTACTGACATAATTTTAAATTTAAACATAAAAAAGTATAAATTCTTTAAAAAGAAAACAAGTGGTCTTAAATGGACAAACCAGGTCATCTCCATGTTGATCTAATGACATTCAGTGAATTCAATGCAACTCATTAATTGGCTCAGTGCCAGGGAATATGTTAGGCTCCAGGCACATTATGACTGGAATACAGTAAAATACTTTCATCTTCCAGGAAATTGAATATAAGCTGTTCATTAATTTGCTTCTAAAATACTAGCAGAGGGCGCACAAGGGATGCAGCCTTTGCACCAAGGGTGTACCCTCCTGGGTGGGAACGACCAGGCCTGTGTAGTACAGGTTCAGTCCTTGATTTGTCCTTAGAAATACCAAATGCCAACCTTTGCTTTACTCTTTGACTTCAAATCATTAAATTTGGAAGTTTTATGTAAAGATATCTAGAGTCTTGCTGTTAAAATCTGGTCTGTAGTTCTATAGTTTGCAGCAATAGCAGCACAGGTGATTGTTAGAAAACAGTCTTGGTCTTTGCCCTTGACCTGTGAATTCAGAATCAGGACTTTAAACAGGACCCACAGGGGAATCATATGCACACTAAAAGTCTGATGCATTGCCCTAGAAATGAAAGGGCCTTAAAACCCTGTCTTTCAGGAGTGCTATTTCCCTAAGCAGGCAAGAGGACTTGGTTAATGATAATTTACTTTAAAAAAATCAGTATGTGGCTATGACATCACAATGACAAATAGAAGCAAAATACAATTGTGAAACGCAGTGATCGGTCTCACCATTAACACATTTCCAGTGATATCAGCTGCACTGAAATATAGAGAATGATTCATTTTGAGTTAATTTAGAAATTCTAGTCACAAATAAACAAAGCTCTCTTTCATTCCCATTGCTCCTCACAATTCATAATGGTTCTATGAGCGGTTTTGCACACATCTGAGGGACTGAAAAATTATTGTATCTTTGAATAACATTGTATTTTATAAAACACAAATTCTTAGAGGAAACAGCGTCATTTCTTTGAGACCCACCAGTGCTTAAAAACATCCTACTATTCCAAAAGAAGACAGATTCTACTTAATTGGAAGTAAGCAGATGAAAAAAGCTGCTTTATTTCATGAGTATTGATTCCCAGTGGGACCAGATAAGTATGTCAAATTAAGCAGAAAGAAAAGCCTATTTTCTTCCTATAAAACTCCATTCTCTTACATTTGAAGACAGAAAAAGAGGAAGAACAAAAATAAGGAATTATAACTACAACTACCAATTAACTCTAAGTGTTGAAAAATGCCTACTAAGTTTTCATGAGTCCCAGATGCATACTTCACAGACATCTAAATGTGGCATACTGGGGGTAGAAATGCCAAGCTTGTGAAAGCACTGGGCCCTGTTTCCATACTGTACGCAGCAGGTGGGTGCTGGCAGTCTCCACCCAATGAAAGGCCTGGTTTCCTAACAGGCTGAGAGGAGCTTGCACGTTTGCTTAGTACCCTATTTAACATTCTGCACAGGTGTCTCCTGGACAAGCACTGCTCTAGGGGTGTCTATGATGAACCTGGATGGGCAGTTTCTTTCTCTTACTCTGTGGTGCTCATCAGTCTGTAAGGTCATATACTTGGCATGCTTTTATTAATTCTGATATGCAGCATTTCCACACTCTAGGTTTTTCAAGTTATCTTGAACTTTAAAAAAAGCAAGAAATGCAGCGTATTTTTTTCTTCAATTTCCCTTAAGACAGCAAGGTTGGCCATGGAATCATATTTCCCCTATGCTCCCAAACTAGAAGCTTAAATGACACTGAATATACTAAGATTTAAGATATTTGGTTTAAAAGGTCTATAGTAATTCTATGGAGCTTATGAATTATGAATGATAGGAAAGGCCAGCTTTTGCACAGAGTTGAGTTATAATCCAAGTGTACTGAATGATGAAAATACCTAAGAAACAATAAAATATTTCATGCAAACAAAGCAGTGTTACTTTGATGACTAAAAAAACCCTGAGTTAATACATAATTACAGATCAAAATCAGGGGGAAAGACTGCAGAATGGTGAATTTTTGTTTTTAATATACCCAAAAGCTGCCAAGTTAGAGCTCATTAGACTAACTCATCACAGTAGGCTAATTTCCTCAGGCAAGAGGCTTGCAAAGAGAATCAAAATGAAGATGAAATCCAAGTACCAAAGGCTGTGGTAAATACTTCATCTATTCTAGGCACAAAGAGACGGCTGAAGATTATATGGTCAGTACCACGTCAGGTGTAACTGGACCACAGCTCTTCAGAGGGATGCCTTTTCTTTTTCTTTTTGCACTAACTCCATGACATAAGATGCCCTCGTGAGGCAGAAGCTTCACATCAGGATTGTAGAAGATAGCCCCAAGTTCCTGCGTGACTCCAGAATTAAGCAGTTGTTATGATGACGGAAAGGGGAGGGCAGGTGTTACTTGTTCTAGAAATAGTCTACATTCACTTCTGTACTCTAGTCTCTGTCTGAGAGATGTGTGATCTTTTTTCACAGGTCCCGAAGAAGGTAAGTCCAGAACTTTTTCACAGTGGTCCAGTGAAGAAAGTGGATTTCTTCTGAATAAGTCTCTCTTAGTCCTTCGCTGTTTTTCTTGCTCTCCTAGAAACTATAAACCCTAGGAACTACACACACATTTAGTGAAAGACTATCTCACAGGACTGAACTGGTTGTTTAAACTGCTACAGGCAACTTCTATATACCTGTTTTCAGGTTTGGGCTGCAGATGGTCCACAGAGAATTGGCAATTCAATTTTTGCTGATACTTTAACAACTACAGATAAACGTCAGCAAAACTTCTTTTTGAGTTTTGAGTAGTGAAAGGTCAAAATATTACATCTGTGTGACAGAAATAGATACAAAGTAGAAAACTTATGCCTGAGTCAATGAATGTACTGACATTTATTGGTTGGTGCATCTCTCATATCATAATGACTTTTCTTGGCCAAATTTCTACAACTGTGCTAAGTCACATCACAGAAAGTAAAGAGAACAAACAAAGCAAGCCCAAGTGAACACAGAGCATATTATAATGTTATACAGAAATTAAAGGATGAGAGGAATAGAGTGTTGCTCTTTTATATAGAGGAGCTGAGGTGGAACATGATTGAGAAGATGGAATTAAGTCTGGCAAAGCTTTAGAAGAAAGTATTCTAGGCAAAAAGCACAAAGGTCCAAAGCATTGGCAGTGATGTGGAACAGAAGGATGGTATACTTGAGATATGGCGACTAAGGGTAGAGTTGAGAGAGCTGGCAGTGAGGGGCAA